CACTACACATAAACTATGTACTAGTTATCATATTTATTTGGAGCTCGTCGTCACTTGTGTTGTGGAGTCTGTAGCGCAGACCCCCTTGGCCGCCGGGCACGAAGTGCCACCTTGCTGGATCTAAGAAGGTCTTAGGCAAAAATCCTTAAAGGAATATTTAAAAAATCCGTTCCGTTTTTTTTTTTGAACTGATAAACGCCTAATGGTTAGAAAGTTGTGCATAAGTGTAAATTCAGGTGTAAATTAGTAAAAATTGATCTGTTCGAAAGAATAACTTGTATTAAATCCAAGCCAGGATCATCGAGAACTCACACAATCCGATCGCTGCAGTAAGCGGCGACGAGCTTGAAGGGCAGTTGAGCCACCGTAGTCAGTGAGATCAGAACACCAGTAGTTTCCACTGCGAATCCAAATATACGACGGAAATAGATCGGAGCATATGTGGAGAGCATGATCATCGAAGACATTTCACAAAACGCGTTGAACCAAACACAAAGAATCACTGGGCTGGTAAGCAGAGCCTAAACGCTCATGAAAATCTTCTCCCTTCTCGAAGTAGTCGAAATCGGCACAATAATTGAATTACCTTGTAGGGTACATCTTGTTTATGCTCGATGTGATCGACGCTTTTGTCATTCTGGAACAGAAAGTAAATCGGCCACTTCGTAAAATGCTCTGATGTACTGAATCTGCGAACAAGGCCTGACTCCTAGACGGTGGACGCGGGAGCACGCAGAGTAAAGTACCAGATATCTTACCTCACTATCCCGGAAATGGGGACTGAATGAGCTGGAACAGTGGCTAGGCGAATAGATGTTAAAAGCCAAGAGACCCGGCTTTTGGTATGAACAGTCCCGATAGGGCATCGAGCGCAACATGTGCAAAAGTAGTCAAAGGGAAGGGTTTTTTCGTGCCACGCTGCTTTTCAGCCGCATTCATACTCAGCGAAATGCGGGACATGGAAATAAGTCAGGGTCTGCGCAGTGGGTTCAGGGATGCTGAAGCGTGGACTAGATGGGCTACGATGAAGTCAGATTGGAGTCAAGGCGAGATGGTGCGCATAACAGGGGGATGAGTGAAGCTAAGGCTATGGTAAAGAGAGGATTAAGAATCTTCATCCATCCATGGTTTCGTGCACTTCTGCATTGTAACAGAAAGGATGCCCCCATCACTAGCACCGAATGGAGCGGCTTGCTTTGACCGCAAGGAATTTTCATCAGCTTGCCCGTATCTAGCTTTTTACCCCAAGACAAGCAATTTTGGCGTGCACCCATGAAAGGTAGCCAGAAGGAAGGGAACGCGATCCTTATGATTAACCCTTAAAAGCCCCGCGGACAGCTCAAGCTCAACCTCTGCCTTGAATTCATAATTCCTTAGATGCAAGAAAGCCTTATGTTGCAAATATTTTTAAAACTTTCAGCAGTAAAATTGTACCTGAATAAAAGTCAGCTCCTTCTTGGAAACCCGTTTGCAGAGCTGCGGATCATCTTTATAGAGAATAAACCACAATGTGAAAACAATAACTCCACAGATTCCATGCAAGTAATAAGACGACCTCCATCCAAAGGAAGACGTGCACAACTGCAATAGCCGCTAGTTACTGCAACAGGAATAGCTGCTTGGTTATGCTGTAGTACTTCCACGATTCACGAAACTTTCGCTGAGTGTAATTTACCAACGGGAGAGTTGACCCAAAGTAAGAAAGTGCTACAAGGGCTGGGCCAGCGGCCGAAGGAACGGTAGTATTTTCAGTGTTGTAGGAGGGAGGGAAAGGTGACGCTGTGGCGAAATTCAGTGTACGAGGAAAAAGAGGCCTTTCACAAAATCGCCATTCCTCTCAACCTTCCCTCCTCTCATCTCTCTCTAGAATATACTGCACTATTATTAATACAATCTATATTTGTGCCAGTTGTTTGTGCCACTCGAGGCAGGTAGCTGGAACACCCATTAGACCGGCCTAGGTTTCGACAAAATCGTCCAATTCGTCGTGAGGTCTAAACGCGTTCAAGGTTAAGGCTTATGCTCGAGTCCACCTAAGCCAATCTAATAAATGTTTCACT